TCTTTACTTCTTCTTTTGAGAACTCTCTGTTCAGCTCATTAGCCCATCTTTCAATTGGGTTCCTTCTTGTCTTAATTCTCTGTTTTTTGAGTTTGTTATATATTCTGGATATTAAACCTCAGTCAGATGTGTTGCTGGTGAAGATTTTCTCCCATTCTGTGGGTTTGCTTTTCACTTCCCTAGTTGCCTCCTTTGATGTACTGAAGCTTTTTAGTTTAATGAGGTCCCATTTGTTAATTCTTGCCCTTGTTTCCTGAGCAATTGATGTCCAGGTTAGAAAATCCTTTCCTATGCCTGTATTTTGTAAGTTTTCCCCAGTGTTTTCTTCTAACAGTTTCAGAATTTTAGGCTTTACATTGAGGTCTTTGATCCTTTTGGAATAGACTTTTGTGCAGGGTGAAAGATAGCGGTTTAGTTTCATTCTTCTACAGGTGGAGATCCAGTTTTGCCAGCACCATTTGCTAAACATGCTGTCTTTCCTCCAGTGAATGTTCTTGGCCCCTTTGTCAAATATCAGGTGGCTGAAATAGCATGTACTCATATTTGGGTCTTCAATTTTGTTCCATTGATCTATGGTTCTATTTTTGTGCCAGTACCATATTGTTTTTATGACTATAGCTCTGTAATACAGCTTAAAATCTGGTATAGTAATCCCCCTGGCATTGCTCTTAGTGCTCAGGGTTGTTTTGACTATCTGAGGTTTTTTGTGCTTCCATATGAATGTTAGGATGGTTTTTTCCAATTCTGTGAAAAATGTCATGGGGATTTTTATTGGCATTAAAGAGAATCTATAAATGACTTATGGTAGGATGGTCATTTTCACAATATTAATTGTTCCAATCCATGAGCATGGGAGGTCCTTCCATCTTCTGATGTCTTATTCAATCTCTTTCTTTAAAGATTTAAATCTTTCATTGTAGAGCTCTTTAATGTCTTTGGTCAGGTTTATTTTGAGATTTTTTTTTTTGTAGCTATTGTGAAGGGGAGTGTTTCCATGTGCTCTTTCTCTGATTGCTTGTTATTGGTATACAGAAAGGCTACAGACTTTTGTAGGTTCATTTTGTAACCTGCCACTTTACTGAATGTGTTAATAATTTCTAGGAGTTTTCTGGTGGAATTTTTTTTACGTCTGTTAGATATAATATCATATCATTTGCAAAAAGGGATAATTTGATCTCTTCTTTTCCAATTATTACTCCTTTAATTTCCTGCTCTTTTCTTATTGCTCTTGCAAGATTTTCAAGCACTATGTGAAAGAGGAGTGGAGATAGTGGGGAGCCTTGTCTGGTTCCTGAATT